TTATTGCACTAGTGACTGGGCAGCAATAGCATCATAACTGAAGTCTGCAACTTTGAACATCGCCGATACTTACCTGCTTTACCGTTCTATTGGATTTAGACTTCTGGCTTACTCTCACAGAATCAACCCCTTAAAACAAACATGTTACATACTCTCTGGCTGACATGGAAAGGAATATTATGACTCTCTTTCTAAACGGATTACTAGCTAATGTATTGGACTAAGCTCACAGAACATCCCTTGTTACACAGATTTATATACAGGATAATGACTCAGGACTGTATTACCTCATATCCTCAAGGGTTAACTCTTCCTCCCTAGAGTTACCTCAAAAAAGTGCTGTGGAATAGGTTGGCACTACATAAATGCCCAATATAATAATATTATAACATTATACACTGTTGCAAAAAAAAGAAGAAAAGTGACTGGCGCTTACACAGTAAAACAGAAGTACAGTAGGAGTGGAAAGGGTGTTCCCCAACACCCTAAAATCAAGTAATAGAAAAGGGTACTAAAAGCAACAAGTGCCAAATACACACACCACTCCCTGTGTATCAAAACAGGCAATAATAATACTTATACATGTACAGGTACATATAGGAGATGGTCCATATAGAAACCTATAAAGATAAAAAATGGTACATAGTATAGCCTGTATATACAAAAGAAGGAAATATGGAAGTGATTGAATACACTCACGAATTTCAGAGCCGTACCAGGCTCTGTATATGATGCCCAAGGGTGCCTCAGAAGGCTCAGTGGAGAATCTTGAGTAGTATCCCCCAGAAAAAACAGCAGCAGAAAGATGAATAAAAATAATTATAAATTTAATGTAAATAAAAATTAAAAATTAAAATAGTAACTGTGCAGGTCCCATATGGTGACACACAGAATCACAGTCATGCAGACGCGTTTCAACTCAGTCCGAGTTTTCATCAGTGCATAAAACATCCAGCTGCTGTTCCATTTTAAATCACCGCTTGTTCTAATTGCCGGTCACGTGGGCGGAAGTTCGGGTGGCCGGCGTCTGACGTCACTTCCGGTATTTCGGCGCTCATTTTCCTGCTTGGTTGTATTCAATGTATCTGCCCAGTTGAAGCTGAAAACTCCATGTAGTGAATGGGCATCTTGTATGGTTATTAGAATGCATACAGGAACAGTGATTTATACTAAGAAAAGGGACATTTATAAAAAAAATTATAAAAAATGAGCCAATTCAAAATCTAAATTCAAGCCCTTAGGGGATAAAGTATTTAATTTGAATATCCACCTACTTTCAATTTTACAGAGTTCTTTGAAATTGTCTTCACCCCTCCAATCCTTTTTCTTTTGGGCAATGGCAATAAAATTAACATGTGAAGGATCACTGTTGTGACATTGTAAGAAGTGTGCGGAGACACTGTGTTTGGCATACCCCCTCTGTATGTTGCCCAAGTGTTCCAGCATGCGGGTTTTTAATGTTCTCGTAGTCATTCCCACATACTGGAGTCCACAAGGGCACCAGAGGAGGTATATCACATTACTAGAGTGGCAGGTGAGGATAGAATTGATCTTATATTCCTTTTTGGATATATTAGAAATAAATTTAGTATGTGTATCTTTCTTAGATTTTGTTCTTTTGCAAACTGTGCACATTTTACATGGATAGAAGCCATATTTTTGGTTAAAAACATTGGTATTAGCAGTCTGAATTTTTATATGGTTTTTAACCAATAGAGTTTGGAGATTTTTTGTGCCTCTATATACAATTCTTGGTTTATCACTAATGATGTTATTAAGGCCTTCATCGGTTTTTAAGATGTGCCAGTGTTTCTGAACAATAGTTTTAATATGTTTAGCATCACCACTATAATCCAAAATTAGAAGAGGTTCCTCTGTTTGTTTAGTTACTTGTCTATCTTTATATTCTAATTGGGACTCTCTATTTAGTTGTTTAGTTTCCTGAATTTGGTGATCTAAAGTAATTGGGTCATATTTCTTTTCAACAAAAAAGTTTTTTAATCGTCCCGCCTGTTCCTCGTATTCTTTAATGTCACTGCAATTTTTGAAAATGCGGTGGAATTGACTTTTGGGTACATTGCGCAACCACGGATCATAATGACAACTCGTGGTGTCAATGTACCCATTGACGTCCACCGGTTTGAAATAGATTCTGGTAAGGATATGATTGTTGGAGGTATAAATCTCTAGATCTAAAAACTGAACTGACGTTTGACTAATATGGCTAGTCAAAACAATATTTCTGCAATTGTTATTAAGGCCCTCCAAGAAGAGATCCAAAGAAGTTCTGGACCCCTTCCATATAAAGAAAATATCGTCGA